CACGGCCCCTTGAACCCTTCCAAAACCTGCGGTCCCCTCATAGCCCCCTCATCCCCTCCTGGGCCCCTGTGCTCCCCCAGAACCTCCCCAGACCCTGGCAATCCCCAACCTCATAGCCCCCCACCCCTGACTCCCATAAACCCTGGGACCCCCTGCTGGGACCTCCATAGCTGCCCCGTGACCCTTGTAACCGCCTTTTGGGGCCCCACAGCATCCCTGGGGTTCCCCCCAATACACTTATCTCTTTCTGGGACCCTCATAGCCTGTCTGTGATCCCCAGAACACTTGCAATCCCCACCAGCACCCCCATTTCCTGGGGCCTCCATAGCCCCTCTGTGATCCCTATGATCCCTGGAATCCCCTCCAGTAACAACCCCATTTCCCCCCTGTGACCCTCACAACATCATAATTCCCTCCTGTGGCACCCAATAATCCCACTGTGACCCACTGTAGCATCTGTAATTCCCTCCTGTGACCCACCAAACACCCCTAAACCCCACAGTCTCCATTCTGTGACCCCTCTGGTCCCTTGTAATCCCTCACACTCCATGTAACCCCCCCCATGACTGTCATCCCTCCCAATTATTTCTATCCTGGTCCCACCATGCCCTTCCCAGTATTACCTTGATGCAGCAGCAATTATTCCCCTTTAGGGAGGAGCAGGAACTTGTTCCCTCTCTTACAGACCTCTTCCCAGCTGCCCATCATCAGCCCCAGGAAATGGGCTGAGTGCTGTGTCTTGAGCCCCTCAGTGCCCCTCAGCCACCCCAGCACTGTGTGGGCAGAGGGCAACGGGCCGAGAAGGGGACAGAGACTCGGGAGGGAGAGCCGAGCAGTGCTGCAAATGTGGGACACCCCCCAGAGAGGCCATCGAGGACCCCTCAGCATCCACTGCCCCCCCACTCTGCTCCCCACCAGCTTGAGGACAGACATGGAGCTCATTGGTCACATTAGAGTAATTTACTTCTTGGGGGCATGTCCTGTACCTCTGCCAGCATCCCCCTGCCCCAGCCTGGTGCCGGGTGCTGACAACTCGTGCTCTGCCCACATCAGTTTGACAGATGCAGAAACTCTTCATCCTCTGCAAAGAAAGAGGCACACAGGTGACAGACAGACTGACAGGCCCTCTCCTCACCCCACGGCCAGACAGGGATGGTTGCTGCTTCCCACCTGGTGAGAATGACAGTAGGAAGCAGTCCAGACCCTCTGTGCATCCCCATGCTGTCCTGGGATGTCACTTTGTGTTCCACCACCCACCACAGTGGTATGAATCCCCTTTATGATCATGATGACATAAACAAAGATGGGCTCTGCCCTGAGACATGTTCCTCTGGCCCCAACTACCACCCATGGGGGCACAGAGACCCTCCAGTTCTTGCCCCACTGGAAGCAGGCCTGCCCAGGGCTGGCTGTGGTTGAAGACCCCTGGGCTCACCCTTCTGTATGGAGAGATTTTCCCTTCCACCCTCCTGAAAACATGCTTGTCCATTTGTCCTGGTGGCTGAGTGTGTCTCCCAAGGAGGTTCAATACGGAAACACCTGCCCTGACTAGGGCTGGAGAGTCTGGCAGGCATTGCCCAGGTAGTAGACTCCTGGCAGGGACCCTGTCTGGTCCTTATTTGGTGTCAGGGTCTCTACAGCCCCACAAAATCTTTCAGCCCCTCTTCCCTCAGTGGCATCCCCTGCCCGGGGGCTGTCACCTTCACTGCACCTCACTGTGGCCCAGCCTGCTTAGGGGCCATTTCCCCTCTTATGAAGAGGCATCTCGAAGTTCAGACCTGGCCTCAGGACACCTGCAGCCTGTTGTGCCCTGACACTGTCTGTAGATTAATGACCATATTCCTCCGCCCATCAGAGTCTCTGGCCCAGGACAGACCCATTCCAGGCACAGCACAAAAAACACCCCACACCCATCCTGGATCCAGAACTCATTCCAGATCCAACCCAGACCCAGGACAGACCTATTAAAGACTTACCCCAGACCCAGGACAGACCCATCCCAGAGGTACCCTGAACCCAGGACAGACCCATCCTGAACCCATCCAGATCCAGGACAGACCCATCCTGAACCCATCCAGATCCAGGACAGATCCATCTCAAGACCCATCCCCAATGCAGGACAGGCTCAGAGCAGGACAGGAGGTGGTGCAGGGCGGGCAGGGCAGGTGAGGGCAGGCGGGAGTACCTGCCAGCGGAGGAGCCCCGCAGTATTCCTTGCACTCCTTCTCCGAGTAGAACTGGTTCCCGTTGCCCTTGCAGCCCCCATAGCTGAACGTGACGCACTTGCCCTGAGCCGCGCTGAAGGCCCAGCGAGTCACCGGGCGCTGGCAGGGGCCCGGCACGATGGGCAGCCTGCAGGCAGCTGCGGGGACAGGGGCTGCTGTGAGGGGACAGGTCTGGCCCCTGCACCTCCCGCGGGGACGCTGCGCACGTGGGATCCGAGGCCACTCTCAGATCCCCTCAGGTGCCCGGCAAGGAGCCCCCCGCTCACCCTCGGTGCGGCAGGCCTGCAGGCAGCCCTTCTCTGAGTAGAAGTTGTTGCCGTTGCCCAGACAGCCCCCGTAGAGGAAGGTTTCCCAGGCCATGGACGAGGAGTTGTAGAAGAAGCGAGAGAGCATCCCGCTGCAGGGCCCGGGGTCTTGGCTCAGCCGGCACGAGTCTGGGGACAAGGGCGGCAGGGGTGGCTGCACCCAGCAGGGACCCAGGGCAGGGGATGCCCTGCCCTGTCCTGGCACCCACCTTCCTTATTGCCGGTGTACGGGGGCAGGGGTCCCGCGGCCGAGCCCTCCTCGGGAGGCAGGACTGCTCTCCTTGCCCTCTGCACGGGAAAGGGAGCACAGAGCTGCCATCAGCCCCTCCCCAGGGAGCCTGCTGCCCACCCCCTCACTCACTGCCAGGGGGCTGAGCTCCCCCCGGGCCCCTCCTGCCCCTGGGATGGGCTGTGTCAGGGGTACCTCTGCTAGTGCTGCAGCCCACACAGGCTCCAACCCTCCCTGCTGCTCCCAGCACATCTCCAGACATTCATCTTGGGTCAACAGGATGTGTTCGCTCCACACCCCACAGTCTTCCCAGACCTCTGCTCATGCCGAGCGGGCATCAGGATCTTGTATATTGGATTAAGACACCTGAAGTGCCCAAATCATGCCCTGTGCTCGGCTGGGGATGAGTGTCTCCTCTGGCTGACACAGGATGGTGTGTCCTCCAGATGGGTTGCCTGCTTTCAAATTAGCTTGGCTGCTTCTCCTGTGAAAGTCCCATCCTCTCTTGAAAATCCTTCTAAACTCAACTTTGTGAGATTGGGAGGTACTGGGTGACTGTACCCAAAGGACCAGTGGGGTGCTGAGCTGCCTCCCCATCCCTGGAGAAGGGGTGTACAGCCTGGCTGGGACACCCACAGCCAGGCAAGGAGCAAGGAGACACCAGACTCCACAGGCAACAATTTTCACCCCATTAAAAAATCAGAGTAGGGAAGGGCCTTCCACTTGGGAAGGAGCCCTGGTGGCCTCCTGGACTCACAACCCTCATCCTGCATCCCATGTCTGTCTGTTGCTCACAGGCAAAGGCTGTCAGTGGAGATGAGAGGTCATCTCCCAGGGTAGTCAGTGGAGCTGTTGCCCAAACATGTCCTGTCTACAAGCCTGTTCCCTAGACACCAGGTCTGCAGTAGGTCTGGCTTGAAGGGGATCTCCCCAGCCTTGATCCATCTCAGGAGGTTGCAGCTGGACCACTCACCTTGGGGGCAGTTGCAGTCTCCTGGGGAATGCATTCACCTGGCACAGATGACAGGAGAGAAGATCAGCAGCAGGAGAGGGGAGGTGTCCTGAAACTGATCTCACTGTGGTACTGCACTGTGCACACACAGGACCCAGGGAAGGGGATGTCCTCCCAGTTTCACCCATGTTCTTCTCCTCTTGCTGTTTTCTACCTTTGACTTGCAGGAGCATTGCCCAACAACCCCCACACCCACCTGTACCATGCTAGCACCTTCTGAGCCCAGGCTGGGTAAGGAGTTCCTCAGCTGTGGGAAGCAGTCATGCGTGTGGGTGAATTGACCTGACAGCCCAGCAAGGAACTCACTGACTGGGAACTGGTGGAAGCCTGACTGATATGTGGCCTTGTCTCCTTCCCATTTCATCCTACCAAAGCCCTCATCTCTCCTCCCTCCATTCTGACTGTCCTCCCTTCTCCCCAGCCAGAAGGAGCAGCCCCAGAAGCCCACTGCCATGTTGGGGGGACAGACAGCAGGAGTGCCACGTGTCTCGTGGTGGGTTACCTCTGTTGGCCAGGATGAAGATGGAGTCTGCTGGGATGCCCATCTCCAGAGCCAGCTGCTGAAAATCCTTGATGAGGTCCTCCCGCAGC